CCCGTTGTAATTTAGATATAGCCCCCACCATTTTTACCCTATCAAAACATTCTCTTTTTTTCCTTTAGTTTTTAATGGCGTTTATGTTTTGTAAATTTCTCTCACCCACATCTTCAACATCCTTTTCAAAAATAAAATTATTAACATATTACTATTGCCCCCACCGAAAAAAAATTCTGGGTCCGCTATGCATGTTCATCATTATGGGATGGATGTTAGAAATCTACATTGATGTTATTAGCGCTGCCTAAATTATAGTTTGCCAACATAGGATGGTGTGCCATATATTGTTAGCAAATGCTGAGAATTTATATAATAGGGAAGTTAAAATATTGTTGTATTTACTATTTGTTTTGGACTTTACTTATTTATGTTAAACAATTAGGGTATCGTTAAAAAATAATGAGTATGTTAAACAATTAGGGTATCGTTATTTATGTTAAACCCTAAACCCTAATTATATTGTATTCAAATCACGAGTATATGCATAACCATATATCGACTCCAAGAAGTAGGATAAAACTTGCATTTGTATATATCATACACAATATACTAAAGTTGCTTTCATATATTAAATGACTTATAAAAAAACCGAGATTATGATCAACTTATTAATACGAAATAAAGATAAAGTTGGGTTTCGGGCCTTCGGTAAGAGAAACCGAGTACGTGCTTTCAATTGAAAAGACGAGTGAGAGAGAGATTAATATAAACAAAAGTACAATTAATTAGGACAAGTCAAATCAAATCCAAGATATTATTTCCGAAAAGAGATAAAAGACATAAAACAAAAGAAAAGCCAACAAATCCGTTAAGGAACAGAACAGAACCCACCACATGTGATGATGTGAAGGTTCTTCGGCTTTGGGCTTTGTGTGTTCCCATGGAAGTCGTGGGTTTGGTATACTCTCCATTTTGACCTAAAAAATTCGAATATTATAAATATATGAAAACGCCCACAGGAAATCTTGTCATTATTAGTATTTATCACAAAATTTATATTATCCATTTTCCAAATGAGAGAGTCCATGTTTCAATCAAAGTGGTATGAATTAAGAGAATATCACCATGATTTCTACGCGGTCGAGTGTACAAAGAATCTCAAAGCTAACCAATACTAATCATATATAGATGCATCACGCACCTTAGATACATAACAAGTTCCCCATAAAAGAAATTTTATACTTTAATATGAAAGATAAGCATGACAACCCGAACTCAAAACATGGGTATAAACAGCTTTTGAACATCTACGTTCTTTTTTTTTGTCAAACCAGGAAGTTCATCTGGGCCTTCGACCCAATCTACATCTCCCTGGGCCCGGGAGCAGCCTTTGAACACACAGCCTTTGGCTATGCCTCTCCCTTCCCGCAAGTCTGGATTCGAACCCCTGACCTGGAGGAGGAACATCGTCACTTCCAGTCCAAGTACCACTCGATCACAGACATGTGGGTTGCAATCGTTATTGACATGCGTTCGTGTCATAACAAAATTAAATGTAGGCGGAAAGAGGCATCATGCATCGTGTACATTCATATATATATATATATATATGAATGTATATATAATATACCCACAAGTATGTATATGCATATAGATATATGAAACATGAAATATGTTTTGGCCCGTGGGACTAAAAAGATACCTAGAGGGCAAAGGCAACTTTAAACAGAGGAGGAGGAGTGCTAAACTTATACCAACATGGAGTTCTGTCTCTTCCCTCTTCCCTTTTTAGCTTTTTTTCCCATTTCTTTGTCAATCATCCCATCGTCCACTGTCCCCCCTTTCTTTTTATTTTATTACATTCGGCATACCCATTTGGATCTACACACATTTTTTCATCATTCATTGCATAGATATTATTGGAATATTTTCCTTACCAATATACATAGCATTAATCACATTTGAAGCATAAATTGTAAAAAAAAAAATGTAAAAGAACTATAAAGATTAGTTGAACAAATCTTCTATAATTTTCCCAAGAATCTTATATAAACATGTATAAATTATGGAAAATTTCCTTGTTGTTCCATTGTTTTAATTTCATTAACTAAATAATAAAGAAGAATAGTAAACGTAGATCATTCTGCTAAAGCTTGACTGTTTTTCCTGAAGTTATCACAGTACCTCAACAGTGTAGATTTTTTTTTAAAATTTATTAAGAAATATAAAAGGGGAAAATAATAATAAATGAATGAATGAGCATATCTTAGTTGCTAAAAAGTTAGTCGCTGAAAGAGACGTGTGAGAAAATCACCTGTCCCGTTCGAATTTCCTAAAATAGCAGTGCACCCACAAAAGATGGAAGCCATGGGGCAGGCCCTCTTTTCTTCATATTTATCACCCTTCTTTCAAACCCTTTTTATATCTATATATATACACACATATATATATTGTGTGTAGGGGGTGGAGGGCTAAAACATAATCCAAGTCGAATATATAGATCCATGACATTTACAACTAAAATAAAATTGGGTCGTCTTCCATTTGAATGGTCGCTGATCGACCGCAAATAAAATTATCATCTGGAAATTAATGAATTGTCGATCGATGTTGAATAAAACTTTCCACGAGCAGTTTTGTGCTAATTTTGAAAATTTTAAGTATTTGATAGCCGCTCATATATATATATATATATATATGGCGTACTGATCAGTGTGAACCGTGATAGAATTCAGGCGGCCATAGATTATCATTGATTTATTGATCGTCTTTGGTCTTTTACATGATTTCATCATTCGTATTTCGCACGTACGATATCGTGTGCGTGTGTGTGTGTGTATTCTCGTTTATAGTTCGGACGTAGTTATACGTACGGATTGTAAGATAATATTGCTCTTCCATCGTTTGTTGGGATCACGAATGTTTGGAAGAATTTATATATATCCATGTTTACATGCACATTGCATAACGTGTTGATCATCCTGGTTCGTCCATAATGGATATCTCTTTGGAGACATTAACAAGACATACATAATTTCATCCAAAAAAAAAAAAACATCAAGACATATATAATTAGCATAATCTATACGTAATTACACAACACGAATGTAAACATAAGAAGTATCGAACCATCCAACATTCATAAATAATTCCATACTAAACTAACCATTGATGAAAAACAATAAGTGTCCGAATTATACGATAAATATGCCTATTCGATGTTGCATATATAGCGAGGTTGTACCATCACTAGTGATATATAAAAACCCTAGATCTGCCCCCTTCCTTTATAAAAATAATAATTATTCGTACAATTCAACACTTTTTTTTCGTCTTTTTTAAATGGCCGACCTTAAAGTTTGCCAAAGGTCCTAATTTTCCTCGTACATTTTTTGGATATAAAATTTAAAGTTAGATTCCTGCCAAATACATACATCCATATACGTTGGCCAATATACACTGTCACGGCCGGCCTCTCTCTCCTCTCTATATATATGTAATGCTTTCAACGAAAGATTTCACCATAAAACCCTAATCTCATTTGTTCCCATATATTCATCTCGCATCTCTTTCACTCGTTAGAAATGAACCTTGAAGAGAAACCCTCAATGGCTTCGCGAGTTTCACACCAGTCCGACCATCTTTATTACGTCCGGTGCAACTTCTGCAACACTATTCTCGCGGTAACATTCTCTATACTGCTATATATTACAAAACACACACACACACAGACACACACTGTATATATGTGTGTGTGTGTGTGTAAGAGAGAGAGAGAGAGAGAGAGAGAGAGAGAGAGAGAGAGAGAGAGAGAGGCATACTAAGCCATCGAAGTGAAACAACACATGCTTATACTCAATCAAGAAAGGAGAAATCACTTGACATGCGTACATATAAATTAAACTAGAACGGTCCAATATATGTGCATATGTTTCTTCCGGCATGCCTATTAAACGAAACGACTGCAGAAATCTTAACCGAGCTTACGCACGTCTACTAAAATTCCATATAGCTACTATATGTATGTTTTATGATATGGTGCGTAGGTGGAAATGCCTTTCAGGAGAATGCTCGAAACCGTGACAGTGAAATGCGGCCATTGTGGCAACCTCTCGTTCCTCTCCACAAGGCCTCTTCAAGACCCATGTCTCGATCGCCATCTCAGTCTCAGTCTTCAGGTGTATATATGTATACACACACACATACATGCACATAGTTTATACGTACGTACCGAAAAGAGACAGATCAATTGGTTTCCTTTTAGGGCACAAACTCTTGCTTTCAAACAGTTTCTCATTTTATAAAAAGTGTAGTGTGTGTGTGTGTACTTTGAGTATACGTTCGAATACATCACACGCTATCTAACCTGTGATATATTCTAATTAATAGTATATACAATGGGAGGGATGTATACTGATTTAGGGTTAAAGCAGATGCAGAGCTTCTGTGGCAACAATGAGTTCAAGAAGGGAAGTTCATCTTCGTCATCTTCCTCGTCCACTTCGAGCTACCAACCACTGTCTCCTAGAGAACCTTTTGTGGTTAAACGTAAGCATAATAACTCATACATGCATGATCATCCATATATATATACACGCATATATATTTATACACTTCTTTTAACCAATATTGGCATTGCAGCGCCCGAGAAAAAGCAGAGGCTTCCATCGGCTTACAATCGGTTCATGAGGTAATATTATTGTTTACCATACATTTTTTCTTTTGATTTAATTACCATACATTTGATTTCAATGTATTGGTTAGAGAAATTAATGAGATCATTTGGGCATGTTTTTCAAATAAATTAATCAACTTTCGTTTGTAAATACCAATGTACAATTAATGGAACACGAAAAGGGAAGAGATACAACGTATCAAAGCTGCGAACCCGGAGATCCCACATCGTGAAGCTTTCAGCACCGCCGCCAAAAACGTAAGACTGTCATGAATAGGAAATTTCTTATAAGTTTTACCGATAAAAAAACCCATTTTCCTAAATAAAAAACAATACATATACTTCAAGCCCAATTGGCTTTCTCTTCATCAGAAATTTTATAAATAGATATACACCATATATATATGTTTTTTATAGGGAACTGTCGAGATTTTACATAGTTTAGGTTATTTTCGTTTATTACAATTCACGTTTATTTTTTGGATAAAGACTTACTAACACGTACAAAATTAAAAATCATCTCATGCAGTGGGCTAAGTACATTCCGAACTCTCCTACTTCCATCGCTTCGGCAGGCAAAACCATCAACGTAAGTAGTTGTCTGAATATGTATGCTTAAATCATCATACGACATTGATATCCATACATACATACATA